TTTTTTGAAAGGCAAAAGTACCAGGCACCACTATTGAACTTGATTTAGTACCAGTCACTCTATCTCAAAAATAATCAATCTTCTTTTAAATGAAAAACCGTACAAAATAAAACAAACTTAATAAAAATCGTTTACAGGAGAAATCTTTACATTTAAGCTAATCACCGATTATTTCTTTTCTTCTTGATGTTCTTCTGTTTACGACAATGCATGCGAAAACTATCAATATTCTTTGAAACAACATTTAATATATATTCAATGACACCATTCTATGTCTATATTCTCGTCAACATTTAATTTATTGGATAGCAATATTCAAAACAGATATAAGTAGTTTTCAGAATGGAATGCATAAAAAAATAATCCAGTGCTATCTATCCTGTATTGTTCTACTTTCAGATATGTCGAAATATCTATGATAAACAAGACACTATCCATAAATAGTGTAACATTGCATCGACAATGTTAGATATGTAATTAATTTTTTCATGTATGTCAAAGGTGCACCTAATTGTATTTTAGTTGAATGAAATTAAATATAATTGTTCATTCATAATGTCCGATTTTCTTCTAGATGTTATATTATAGTCTCGAACTTTTAAGATTTTCTTTTTCACACGCAAATGAACTATTAAAGAGTGAGAGCGAATACAGTAACCATATTTTCTATTTATTTATCAATACAACGTTGTTTTTATGCGAGAGTAAATTGTTGAAGAAAACTTTTCAGCCTAGGAGTAAAATTGCTTGTCAGAATCAAAACTATTAATTATTTTTAAATTAAAGAGAACTTTTCAGACGATTCAAAATCGATTAATTAATTACTTTATGTTAAACTGAATTTTCAGTGACTTAATCTTCTAGAAAAAAAAGAAAGAATCCTTATGTAAAAACAACTTTTTCATTAATGGCACAATGCAATATTATCGTCCTATAAGAACGAACAAAATGATTATTCGAGCAATTTTTCTACTTATATTTATTTTTTATTCAGCAAAAATATGTGCCTTAAAAGTTGAACTTGTATATTTACAGAGAAAAAAAACATAAATTAACTATTTAAAAGAGGTTCTTTTTAGTTTCTTTAAAAACAAAATCAATTATATCTATAAATTGTTGTGATTCGTGTGCTTCAACAATGACTTCGTTTACAGAAAATAGACATCTTAGAAGATTTGAAAAACGTATCACAGCTTGATTATGGCCATACTTATACAAAAGATATTGCCATGCTAAACCTGTGTACAAATCTTGAATAGGTAAAATTGCTTTGATATTTGCCGGATTAATCAGAATATTTTTTCTGTATACAGTATAGTTGATTGTTGAAAAAGCAAGAATTGCTAGTATTAATTTAATAAATGTACCGTCAGAATCAAATTGGTCGATAACACGTTTAATGAAAACCATCGCAGATGGTTGAAAAATTGTCTCCACGGATTTAATAAAAGTCACATCGTCAAATAATCTTGCTTGACGTAAAAGAAACATTCCACCAATAGTTGCTGTATATTCTATTGTAGTTTCAAGTAAAATAGCACGATCATGTTGAGATAAGAGGAAAAAATCACGATTTTTCTCGAATGCAATTTGAACTTTACTCATCATTAGTTTAAAAAACTCACAAACTGATGAATATTTAAATCGTAACTTGAGAGGTGATCGATTTTGTTCTTCTATAAAACGTTCGACAACTCCATATTCACTATTTTCATCGAAACAATGAACTAAACTTGATAAAAGATTCCATTGATCAATATTCAATGTTGATTGATTCGATTCGAAAAGATTTAATGTTTGAATCTCAAAGAAAACGAAACAAAATTAAATTTCAAAAATCAAAAACTTTAGAAACTACACAAAGATTGAAAAATAAATGTTGGGAACATACAGAATATTTCGAAGTTATTACAGTTTTATCGTAATTCATACTGATTATTCGTCAAACAACTGATATCATAAATTAAAGTTCATCATATTTAATTTATTATTTTATTTTGCTAAATTTTCTTAGGTAAACTCGATTTAAGATTTAAAAAAGTTAATTACCACATATGCTGATAGTAATTTTACTTTTGCTGATCATTTTTGTCTATGTATTTGAACAAATCGCTTTTTTTTTTGAATGAAATAGTGCATAACATTCTTAAAATAGAATTTGAATTGGTTGAAGAAGCTTTTATTATTAATTCTAAAATAGAACAATTAAATAGAGATGATGAGTTTGTTATGCTTATTCAAAATAATGAGTATTATGAACATTTTCACACGCATATCTATCGATGATTTAATATTCCTTGTAGAAACCGAATAAATACAATACGTGAAGATTCTTACCTGGTCACCTTGACAATTTTGGTTTGATATCACTGATGTTGTTGATATTAATGGTATTGAATCAATAATCAACTTTCTTTTTTCATTTCTCTTATTTTTTGTGCAACGAGATGATCGAATCATTTCAATACGCATTCCACTTATGAAACATTTTGCAAGTCGACACAAAGCACATATATGACGATTATTTATATTAATATCGCATTCATTACCAAACAAGCATTTTAAGTCTGACTAAAAAAATCTATATGAATATGACCAAAACAAAAAAAAACAAGATTTTTAAAAAATTTCCATTAACCTTTCGATTTTCAGCATTTCGTTTAAAAAACATTTTGCATGAATGACATACAACAGCACCATAATAACAATATTGTGCCGATGCTCCACAAATTTTGCACTGATATGGGACTGTTTTTGTCTGTCGTATAACAGTACTAGAAAATGTCGTTGCAATGATCAAATTTTTAACAACTGTTTGTTCCATTAGCGAACTTTAAAATGCACAACTACCTATCGTCAAAAGCAAAAGGACTAGAATAGTAAGGTAATGAAGATGAATGAAACTCAAGGCTTCTTATTTCTAACCCATAAATAAACTGTAGATATGCAAGAAAAAAAATTAGAAAAGAAAAAATGTTTTGTTTTACCTATAACGACTTATGATAAAAAGACGGAATATGCCAATTGTTTGTGCAGGGTTGGTGCGTAAAAAGAACGAAAGTGGGTTATGCGCACAATACAGAAAAAAATCGTCCTTAATAAACCTTGTTTTTATATAAGGTGCACCAAGGGCAAAACGTAAGCAAAAAAAAATAGTGTTTCTGTTTAACATATCATTCGATAGAGCTTGTCGAGCTGATTCCGAATATGTATATTTTTTTGTGTTTTGATTACGTTTTGCGTCTGAAAACCTAAAAATACTGGAAAATCCGAATATAGCCAATCCATGATCACTCCTGTAAAGAATCTAAAA